TATCTCAAGGAGTTTATCTTCAAAATTTCCTCTAAAAAAAAAAAGAAAACACACCAGGAAGTAAGGTTAAAAAGAACCATACACATGGCATATACACATCTGACATCAATGAAAATAACCTGAAATAGGGTGGATACAACTAAAACACAAATCTCAAAATTAGTATTTTAACATGTCCCAAACAAACCAAAAAGCCTGGTACAAAAGGCCTGCTATGTTTCTTAAAACCAAGACCTTGGGGAAATGGAGAGACTGATGGTTCAGAACTGAGTGGGCTCAACACCAACAACAGGGTGACCTGCGGGTCTCGGGCAGCGCCTCCCCACCCAGCCAGAGCCCCCAGCAGCCCTTGGGAAGTGGCACAGGCTGCTGGACAAGCAGGGCCCAACACCAAGTGCCCATCTACCAATGGGGCTCGGTGCCAGGTGTCCAACGAGGGGAGACACGCACACTTAACTCCCTTTATGTGGGATTTACGCTGGGGTCCCTTTTGGTCCCCTTGAGTGGGAGGTATCAGAAATCCATGATCTAAGACAATAATAAATATTTCATTCCGTCCTTTGACAGACAGCAGGGATCAGAGGAAAAGCTCTTCCTAAATGTGATTCTGTCATCCCATGATTCTTGGAAGGAGCCCTCCAATGCCCTTCCAGCAATGAAAACTATCCTCCTTGGGTAAAATCTCCTGGGAGTCAGCAGGGTAGGGGCAAAGGTGGGCTTATTCCAGTGTAAAGCTGCAAGGCCCTCTCCAAGGGAGTGCCACGTCCACTGCTGGCAGGTCAAGAGCAACACAGAGCACTCAGCTCAGAGGCTGTGCGCACAGGCCCGGCACAGGCGGGACCCTGGGCCAGAGGCGAGAACAGCTCCGGGGAGATGAGGGAGATGGCCGGCACAGGCAGCCTGAGTCAGGGCAGAGGGTGAGGCGTGAGCAGACGGAGGTCGGAAGGACTGACAGACCTCCTCTGGAACAACCTCACAAAGGCAGAACCTTTGAGATGCTCCCTAAGGCAGAGCTCAAGGTTGTCCAAGGGGAGGCCGTAGGTGCTTCTTCTTGGAAAAGGATTTGGTCATTTTCTTCCCTGGAAGGGGATAACGGTCTGGGGACGAGGGCAAGTCTGAGCTCTGACCCTGCACCCTCTCTATCCCAGGAGGGGAGAGGAAGCTTCTCCCGCGCCCCGCCCGCCGCAGGTGACACCAGAGAGAAGAGCAGCGTCTGGCCAGGCTGGGGAGTGCAGGAAGGGGCTGCTGCCGGCTGGGGGCTCTCCAAAGGGGGCAGTGGCGGTGGGGGGTACCCACCTTCAGAGAGCTAACAGCACCAAGATATGAGAGGAAACGGCACTAAATATGGCAGGAGCAAGGGGCCTTCTGGGGGAAGACAAGGGGCTCCCTGATGTTATTCCCCCTTGAGAGTAAGAACAGGGTTATCGAGTGGGGTGAGAGGCAGGGGGAGAAACAGTGGTGAGAGGTGACGGAGAAGAGCAGGCAGGGCTCCAGCTCTTTTCTGTGAGTAAAAATCTCGAGTCACTGCCATGAGATCAGGAGGTTAAGCTCAGGGTGCAGCCAGGTCCCAAAGCCCGGAGAAGCCACAGTCCCCACGGCAGGCCCCACTCACACCTGCTCCTGTCCTCTCGGCCCCACGCTGACAGCAATGGGGAGGGGGGGCAGCCTTTCTCCCAGAGTCGGCTGGTGCCCTGGGACGACTCCACTCTAACCGGATCCGCGAAGGCACAGCCAGCAAGAGGTCCCTCGATTCCCTGTGTCATGGCACAAGAGACCTTCCTGCGGTCTCCACTGGAGCGTCCCATCCACGAAACAGGAGTCTCTCTGAAGACTCTCTCTACGCCCAGATCTTACACTGAGCCCATTCCTCTTTGGGAACCAGCCAGACCCTGACCCAGGGCTCCAGGACTTTCATGAAGGTGGGAATAAACACTCCATTTGTCCAGCAGTGTGTGTGGCAGGGAGGGGGGCTTGTCAGGAATCCAGCTGTAGGGAAGTCGGAAAACCCACACTCAGGGCTGAGAGCCGAGTGAGAAGGCAGCCACCGAGAGAGGATGCGCCTCGTGCCCCGGCCTCCGCCGGCTCTTCTGGCAGCATCCTCTCCTCTCTGCGCCCTCCGGCACCCCGCTCTTCTAGGAGAGAGCAGGAGGGGCGGCGCGGACCACTCCTCCCCAGGGTTGGGGCTGAGGAGGCCACAGCTCTGAGGGCACCTGGCAAGCGGCTTGAAACCGGGGAGAGAACAGGCCTTGGAGAGAGCTTGGGAGTTCAGTGGCAGCAGCCACCACAGTGCCCACCCGAATGGGAGTGCTGGCTGTCCCCAAACTTGGTCCTCCGGCTCAGGATCTCATAGGAGCAGTCCTCCCCACAGCAACCGGACAGGCTTGGGGAAGAGTCGTCGATTTCAAACCTACAGGCGGGCAGGAGGGAAGGCTTGGCTACGGGCAGCTGACTGCCTCCCTCCCCAGGAGTCAGGGCTCAGGAGCAGGGCAGGGCATCAAGCCACAGGCGCTCCCACACCATCTCCCCAGTTGCCAGCCCCAAGGACCCCAGAACCGAGAGCTCAACGTCAGGACGAATGGGGCCAGGATGGGGGAAAAGACACTGGGGCAGGCAGCTGCTACCACCCAGAGGGTCCCACGCCAGGGCCCAGCTCCTTACTGCAGCGCTTCTCTGAAGAACTGGTAGGCACCATGATTGTGCTTAAATACCGTTAACATAACTTTCTTCATCTGTGTGCTGAGAAGAAAGCATAGAGAACCTTCCAGAAAGAGAAACAGGTGCTAAATCCCGCTTGCTCTCTCGTGTCTGCCTGCTGTCTCCCGTTTGCTCCTAAGAAGAATTCCTGAGACCCGACTCTAGCCTGTCTTGGGCACCCACAGCACTGCGTGCCACCCTCTGTGACAGGGCTGATCAGGCCCCCCCTGACTGGCTTCTCCTCCAGGTCCTCTCTGCACCCCATTACTCAGGCGCGGAACAGGCACTCAGAGGTGCTTGCTGCCTTGAGCCCAGTGTACAAAATCTGGAGTCATGGCAGGGCGGGGAGAAGCTTACTGAGAGGGTTCTAGACACCTTTCTTTCACAACAGTCCCGTGAGCCCTGTCCCCCACGGGGGATGCCTCAGAGGCAGCTCCCTCCAACTGAGCAGTGCACGGACGGCCCTCACCTGTTGGCCACGAGCTGCAGGATCTGTATGAGGAACTTCCCCAGGCCTTTCCGCCGCACCTTGCTCTCCAGCTGCACTTCATAGCTGGGGGAGGAAAGCAGAGTGAGCATGGGGTGGCTGCGAGGCCTGCCACAGACCCAGACGGGCATGCTGGATTTTGCCACTGGCTGGGGTGCCTCCTCCCCCCGCGCCCACCCCCAGGCCAGGGCCCCTACCAGTACAGGACTTCATCCCCGCACTCCACGTCAAACCGGAAGTGAGAAAAGGCTACGGGAACCGAACTGTTTTCCCAAGCGATGAGGTACCAGGCTCGGTCATCCGTCATTTCCTCGCGTTTCTCTCTGTCCTTCCAGCCCCACTCGCTCTGCTCATACCTGGGAGACGGGGGTGGGGGTGGGGGGCAGTTAGGACAGGGGCTCTTGAGAGGAGGGCCAGGCTCCCTGCCTGAGAGGGCGTGCTTACATGGTCTGCATATTGGTCTTGGTCAGGTCGAAGGCCCAATCCACGGTGGCCGGCTCCAGGCCAGACACTCGCTTACATTCAATGGAGACATTTAACCTGAGAAGAGGAAAAGGAGGCGTCTGGAGCCGGCTACAGGCCCGGCACCACCGGCTGCCCTGACAGCCTGACAACGAGGCCCGCCTGGTCTCAGTTAATCTACAGAGAAAAGTCGAGCCCGGACGTGACTACAGAAGGTGCCTGTGAAGGAACTAGGCCGTTCAAGCCGAGATTAACAACTGTCATCACCAGCCCACCACCCTGACCACAAGCCCCATTTCCTGCCTTCCTTGCACAGCCCTTATCAGACGCAGCACTTTGTAAACTTCTGTCCCTCTCTGCTAGCTCTTTGCTCTCTCCACCCTCTCTTCTGTAGTTTGTTATAAACACCGGAGTCCTCTGTTCCCTCAATTCCTGCCCTTAGGCATTTTCCCTGTTGCTTTCATTTGGAATCAAGTCTTCACTGGGCTCCCAGGGGAACTCTTCCTTCTTATCTACCAAACTTGCCTGCAAAAGCAGCTGGGTGACCTCAGGCCCTCAGGAAGGCTATGGCCCACATCCCCTGAGGAGTCCTGCCGGCTGCTTCCTCTGAGGACACAGTGGGTGCTCTCAGCTGATCCAACAGGGTAGATCGGGATTCACCCCGATGCTCTGTTTTCCTAAACTAACGAATGATGTAGGTGTTAAGGTATCGACCTATTATTTTTTTTTTTTTTGGCCAAGCCGCGTGGCTTGCGGGATCCTAGCTCCCCGACCAGGGACCGAACCTGGGCCGCGGCAGTGAAAGTGCCAAGTCTCAACCACCGGACCGCCGGGGAGCTCCCTCAATCTGCTATTTAGGTCTAAATGAATTAAATAAATTACAGTTAAACTCCCTGGCCAAACTGTGAAATCATATTCTCCAGGTAGTGCCACATTCTGAAAGGACTGACTCGACTCCTCAGAGGACATCACCACTGGAATCCACGGTCACCTCTGCTGTCTGGTATGTCATATGATCTGCACATGTGTGTGGCCTTGTGAATTCAGAACTTCCTGGCTCTGAACAGCCTTCCTTTCTTTCCAAGTACTGACCATGTAGTGGTCAGAAATGCCCACACACAGCACTGCAACTGTCTTAGCTATAAATTTTCTCAAGGCTGGTTTGCAAGTATAAATTCTCCACTAATCTGAGTTCCTTAAGTACATGAAAGTAGGATCACAGCCACACAAATCACACACAATACCAGGCACCAAATGAGCCCAGAGTCAGCTGGCAATGCCTGCTTCAGAGCTGGTCCATATTTCTGGAAGTCAGTGGGAATGTGGGATAGGGAACACTGAGAGAGATCACAGCAAGGAATCTCTAAACTGTGTCAAAGGACTTCCCAGAGGTTGAATGATGACAAAGCTTCTAGAGGAACCATAATGCATCTGATCACAGACAGAAAGAATAAATTAATATGATACTATGAAATTCAGACACAGCTATGAAAAGCAAATGTAGTATTACCTACTATAGTCTTTCCTTCATAATTCATGCATTTGCATTTGTCTTATCTTGTTCATTAAAATACACCAGCTGCAACTTACAGAGCTGGATATAGTTTCTGTCCTCCTTAAAACAACCTTGCAAGTTTGGCATCATCGTTCCATTTAACAGATAAAAAACGAGGCTTGAAAAATATGTTGACTTAACCAAATATAGTTAATAAGAGGCACTGTTATGATTCAGACCCATAGCAATGATTCTGTAAAATCATAGCCCCTGTTTTTCCCTCAGCCAACAGCATCTTGGGGAAGACAGATAATGCTACCTATTTTACAAACCAAAGGAACAGAAAGTGGAAGGGGGCTTTAGTCTAGATTCTGCAGTGAACTGGATTAGTAAAAAAAACAGTAGTAATAACAACTAACACTGACCTAGCCTTTCGTATGCTCCAGGCACTAACACTTTACATCTAATCCTCCTGCCAACTCCATGAGGAAGGTACCCATTTCTGATTCGAAAACTGAGACACAGAGAAGTTAAGTAATTTGTCCAGGGTCACAAAGCCAGCAAGTGGCTTTTAACAATTATACTATAGACCCAGGGAAAGAACACTGGACTGGGAATTAAAAGCTCCCCCCCCCCACGGCCAGGGAGAAACTCCATAAGATCAGACATCTCATTCAGCTTCTCGGAGCTTCGGGTTTCCCTCTGCATAAAATGAGGGAGTCGGCCTAGATGATTTCTCAAGTTTGTTTCAGCTATATGGTTCTTCGTCGGAGAGAATAACAAGTCCCACAGAGACATCAGTCTGAGATTAGGCAATCTTTGCTCATTTGCAGACTCCTTTGTCTCCCTAACTGGGGGATTTTATATCAACAGGGTACTAGCCATCTTTTCTTCTTTTTCATTAACAAAGAATGAAACAATTTGGGTCTGAGGAAGCCTACTCTGGAAAGGTGAATTCCTGAAGAGACTCAAGGAGACAAGTTAGGAATGCTGAACACTCACCCATTGCGATCATATTTCTTGAACACTGGGAAAGCCTCTAATGGGTCTCCAAGCTGCGGAGGGAAAGAACAGAGGAGTAGCACAAACGCTCGCCTAGCAGAGTCACAGGCTCCACCCGGAAGTACCATGCTGTGTGGACCCAAGTGGAGGCTCAGCTCCCAGGGCCAGGAGCGGCCCTTATATATGGACCCTCCATCTGCCTTAGCTCTGAAATCACACGTAGGAGGGAGGCTCTGGGAAGAAGGCCCAACAGGGTTTTAGCTTCACTTGACAGGGTAAGAAGAGACTTCACTGCCTAATTCTAATACCGGCCTCTGGGCATAAAACCTACTCAGCACCCACCTGACCCAAGAGAGAAGAAAGGTCCCTTGCTCCACTCACATAATTTTTTTTTTTTAATGATTTATTTTCTTCTGATTTTAGTTTTGGCTACATGCTATAAGTTTTTCTTTTTAAATTTATTATTTTTGGCTGCATTGGGTCTTTGTTGCTGCATGCAGGCTTTCTCTAGCTGTGGCGAGCCGGGAACACTCTTCGTTGCGCTGTGTGGGCTTCTCATTGTGGTGGCTTCTCTTGTTGCAGAGCACAGGCTCTAGGGTGCACGGGCTTCAGTAGTTGCGGCTTGCGGGCTCTAGAGCACAGGCTCAGTAGTTGTGGCGCATGGGCTTAGTTGCTCCGCGGCATGTGGGATCTTCCCAGACCAGGGCTCGAACTGTGCCCCCTGCACCGGCAGATGGATTCTTAACCACTGTGCCACTAGGGAAGCCCCACTCACATACTTTTGAGAGGCCCCCAACTAACCTCCCCTGGTCAAAACCCAAAATGAAAAATCATGTCCCTGCGCCACATCCTTGTAAGTGTGAATGTTTACTGAGTGCACTAAAAGAATAACAAAAACTGGGGACATGAACCGGGGCAGGAAGGGTGACCAGAATCTCTCTGGTTCCGCTGGAAAGCTGAGCCACTCCCAGCCAGACCCACCAGGTGCTCAGAATCTCAGCTACTCCTCCCCCGACTGCGGCCCCTCGAAACCAGGCTGCTGCATCCCTGGCACAACCTGTAGTACCCCATGGGCAGGCAATAAATGTTTGAAGGAAAGAATGAGAAAACTATACCACATTTTACCAGGGAGGTTTCCTCCTCAAAATGCAAAACCCTAGGAAAAATTTCTGCAGACCCTCTTCTAGTGTTAAGGAAGGAGACCCACAGAGAGAAGACGCCACTTCCACTTCAATCCACACTTCCCTGCACGCCTGGGCCAATCGCTGGCCCTCCTCGCAGCTCTCTGCCAGCCAGGCTAGTTTTCCCCAGCAGCAAGGAGGCAGCAGAGGTACGGATGCGTAGTAACACAATTCTGCCACAAGGTGGCGCCAAAAGAAATCAAATTAAAAACCAAGTTGCGGTTCAAGGAGGAAGGGACTAGGAAGGAGGGGAGAGTCACCCTGTTGGCGGCGTCCACTTTGGCACAGACAGCATCCATGGCTGCTCGCTCCTCCAACCGCTTCTGTTTCTTCTCCTTTGCTTTGCTCGACTTCCTCTGCAACAGGGAAAAGCAAAGTGGGCTGGAAGGCTGTGACCAACCAAAGACTTGACTTTGACTTTCCCTTCGGAGACCCTAAGGGTCAGTCCCCAGTCCACAGCAGAAACTCCGGATCCTGGCTGCCGGATCCTGCTTGGTAGGGTAGGAAGGACTCAAGCGCGTCCCAGTCATGAGACCTTGGGAGCGTCACTAGACTTCTCAGCTTCCCTATCAGCAAGAGTACTGACCCTTGGGACCACTGGGTCACTGTGAGGACCCAGTGAGAGCATGTGACAACACCTGAAGCAGAGCCTGGCCCCCCAGCAGCTGCCTAATATTCACTCATTCATTCCCTCCTAAGGTAGGAAAAAGTAAGTTTAGAGACATTCAGGGCAGGTTTCAGGGAGGTGATGGCATCTGAGGTAGTGGCTGACAGCTGTTTCTAAGTATAAATTCATTCAGTAAGCCTTTTCAGTGTCTTCTGGCTTCAGAAAACAAAGATCTGGTCTGGGGGCAGCCTCTTTGGGAGCTGAGTCTCCTTTCTAAGCTAGGGCTGGGCACTCTGGCTTAAGGCGATGGAGTTGTTCCCAGAAACGGCTGCTCAGCCAAGGCCAATAAGTGGCAGACACACCGAGCACCTAGTAGCGACAGGGCAGAGTGAAGGGCCCCAAGGGGTTCACCTGGGGACAGAGGCCATACTGACACATGGTCAGCAAAGCCAAGTTGCAGGACACATAGGCAGCAGAGGAGGAGCAAAGGGACGCTGTCCTTACACAGAGAAGCAAACTGCAAACCACCCATAACTCCAAACGGAGCAGACCCTGTTTGGAGGCTCACGTGAGGTTTTCTCAAATCTAAATGGACCCTCTTACCCTCTTGTAAAAACTGGTAACACAGGGAAAAGAGCCCAAGCTCTGGGGTCCAAAAGACCTTGTCCAAAGCCTCCTTTTGCCCTTTACTCCCTTCGGGTCTTAGGACAAGACACAACCATTCTTTGAGCCTCCTTCCCTCATCTGATGAGCAGGGCCCTTAATACCTCCTTTGAAGTATTAAGCCCATGAGGGTTACTATGGCCTGTGCTCAATAAATGACACTTTTCATTCTCACTCCCAAGGAGGAGCAGAGCAACACAGGCATCCGGAGGTGCCTGCCCACCCAGGCCGAGTCCTGAAGGTACCCCAAAGGCACTGGGGAGGTGGCTCTGCTTTTTATCAACCGCACTGCCTCTTCTGCCCCCACCCCTTCTGCCCTCACTTCCCGGACCTCACTGGAGAGCGGTTTTGCCACCTCCGATCCCACAGTAGCCCTCACACTGATTGGCCCAGGAAACGGTGAGTTGAATACCCAGTTGAATAAATTCTACCCTCGGTTCCTCAAGGAATGACACTGCTTAACTCCTATTTCAAGCAACCAGAAGGCCAGAGCTCAGACACTAGGAACTCACAGGGATGTGGCTCTTCTAGGCATAGACTCGCCCAGCACCAGCTGTTTGCTATCTGCAGGCTGAGCACTGTGCAGAAAGCCGAGAGCTAGCACCCATTTCTTACCTCCCTAGAGGAACAAACAGAAGAGAATAGACTGTCTTCATAACGCTGGGATCTCGGGGCAGAACTAGCCCCTCCCTACCACAAAGAGGTTTTAGATTATCCACCTTTTTTCCTCTGGGAATCTGGGTTTCAAGACAACACTGAGAGATACACTCATCTTGCAAAACACTTTCACCAACATTATCTGGTTCAATTCTCAGGGCAGAAACCATCACCTCCCTTTACACAAGAAACTGAGGCTCAAAGGGCTGGCGCGACTCGTTCGAAGTTCCCCAGAGAGTAAGAGGCAGAGGGGAGACTCAACCCCAGGGCTGGGTGCAGATTCAGTGTTTGTCCCACCAGCCACTCTGCCTCCCTCCGGGAGAGCCTACACCAGCATCCATGGCCTTCTCAGCTCCACCAAGGTAAGGTCAAGACAAGACCTCAGGAGCCTCAAGGCAGCCACTTGGTGATTCACTTCTCATTACCCTCTGGCTCGGTAACAGCTGACGTGACATGCCCGCACAGCGCCACCCAAGACCCTACATCCACACTGAGGTAGGGGTAAGGGACAGGGAAACTTGAGACGGAAGGTCGCCAGGGCTGTGCAATGGGGCAGAAAGAATATGAGCTTTGGCACCAAACAGGCCAGGCCACTGTTCCTCCTGCCACCTCCCGTGTGTGAGAGGAACTCCACCTCCAGGAAAATGGGAACACAACTGCTGGCCTCACAGAACAGCCAAGGACAGGTCAGAAGCCAGCACACAATCCCAGTCGGTGCCAGCTGCCTGCCTCCACCCTGCACGTTAGCTCTATGGCACAGAACTGAGGGATCAGAGGTGCTGGAAGGAAAGAGTAACTCCCAGGACCCCGAAAGCACTGAAGTGTAGGTTCCCTCCATAGCATCTCATTTGTAAGCACCAGAAGCAATTCCTAAGCACAAGCAGCAGGAGGGCCAAGCCCGGGCCTCCAGGAGATTCATGGGCTCATTCATGCAGGGGAACAGGTGAGCCAGGCAACTCTCAGTGACGCTTGGGGCCACCATGGCCAGAGACTGCAGATAATGAAAGAGCCCCTTAAGCGCTTCGCTGCCTGCACACGGGGTATGAGGCAGGCTGCGGCAGGCGGAGCCAGACAGGCAGGGGCCCTCCCTCAAACCCAGCACAGGCTAGGAAAAGTAGTCTCCTACTGTTCCAATTAGCTTTGTCCTGCCTTGTGGAGGTAAGACTGTCCTGCAGGGACACAGGAAAATTCTCCTAATTAAAATGGGAAATAAGCACAGTGAACAGTAAAGCTCATTGTGGTTAAGTGTCTTTCCCAAGGGAGCTTTATATAATAAAAAGTGTGGGATTTTGAGTCAAGAAACCCACATTTGATTCTCAGCTCTTCCACTTAATAGCTGTGTGACTTTGAGCAAGTTATTTACTCTCTCTCCAACAAGTTACTCAGTGTCTCTGAACCTCAATTTCCACATCCATAAAATAGGGCTAACAATGCCTATACCTCACAGGACTGTTGTAAGGACAAAATGATACAATGTACTAGATATAAAAATTTCTTACTGTAAGGACTTCTGTTTACAAGGACCTACTAACGATAAAAACTCTGCTAGTGCTTTAATAAAGATGATTTATTTGAATCTTTGCAATAACTCAGCAAGGAATGCCTGCCGACTTCTTTGATGAGGAAACAGGCCCAGAGAGATTAGATAACTTTCAGGGTCACAGAGCCCGTGAACAGGATTCTCAAAGAGGTCTTCTGGCCCCCCTCTCCCTCCACTCCCACCAGACTGTACACTCCATGAGGTAGAGGAAGGTCACATCTGCTTCACTTGCTGACGTATACCCAGTGCTCAGCAAACAGCAGGTATGCAGTTCATACCTGTGGAATGAATCCTCCAAGATTCAAATCCAGGTCTGAACCCCAAAGTCCATGCTCCTTCCACTACATCAGTTAAATGTGTATGACACTTGTTGTTACAAAGTGTGGTATAAATGTTGTTTTCACATGCAGCTGTCAAACTCTTCCCCTTGCTATTCCTATCAAGGTAGTACCTCTCTCTCTTTTTTTTTTTTTTTTTTTGGCCGCACCTCATGGCTTGTGGAATCTTAGTTCCCTGACCAGGGATTGAACCCGCACCATCGGCAGTGAGAGCATGGAGTCCTAACCACTGGACCACCAGGGAATTCCCTCAAAGGAGTATCTCTTTGACTGCTAGTCATAATAGTAGTTCCATGACTGCCAGGGGTCACACATAGAAATTAAAAAACAAAAAACGCCCAGATGCGGGCAGGAGGCACCTTCCAGAAAAAGGATTGGCAACCCTTAGGTTTTCAGTATCAATGCCTCCATCCCACAAAGAATCCAGAATCCAGGGAAAAAACCCTCAGTTTTTGGCAAAGGGAGACAGAGCTCTAAATTCTAATTCCTAAAACACGTGTGGCAGCAAGGGTGAAAGAACTTTGAACAGTGCTCCAGCTGATGCCACTCTCTCAGCCTGTGGTCAGGCTGTCAAATGGAGCAGGGCCCTCTTCTGGAGGGTAATCATTAGGAACCATGACGCTCCTGACACTGAGGTGGGGAGTCCACAGCCCTCACCCATAAGGAATGAGTGTGATGAGAGGGTTCCAGCTCTGCTTCAGGGAGGAAAATTCAATTTCTCTTTTGCAGAGACTAGGTAGGGGCTGTTCTGAGAAACACATCTGTGAAGTATGAGTAATAAGATCAGGGCCTTAAGGAAGCAGCAAGGATCGCGGGATCTCTGAGGCCTCTGCTATTTCAACTCAACCAATGAGGAAGTGTTGAACGAGAATGGCATGTTATGCTTCTTGTTTTCTGCTCAGTCTGGAGTGGCTGATGCTGGGTGGACATTTACCAAGTAATACCAGGGACTCAGTATTTTATTTAGTTTCAGCAAGACCTGGAGTCTGGGGCCTTTCACTAAAATCTAGGTTAAATATGCCTAAGGTTTCCAGACTTGATTTTCTATACATGAAGTACCCAGTATCCAAAAGTCCTTGTTGAAACACGATGAACGTGTTTTGACATGAATTACATAAAGTGCTTTGACATGGATAAGACAACTGTTTTTGTCTGACAAGTTGATTTATTCAGTCAATAACTATTTGAGTGGAGAGGAGACAAATCTAGATTAATAATAGTAGGGACAACCCCAATGAGTTAAAAATAGCATAAATCTATTTTAGATGACTAAAGGCTGAGAATACAGGCAAAAATAACAGCCACTATTTAAGAGGCACCTATGTAGCTATTTACATCCACTATCTGATTTTATCCTCACATCTGTCCTAAAGGGGAGGTATCATCATTCTCATCACATCGATAAGGAAATTCAAATCCACAAAGGCCAGGTCACTGGCACAATATCATGCCGCTAGCCAGGGAAGGTGGGGCTGGAACTGAGGTCTCTCTGGCTCCAAAGTCAGGACTCCCTAAAGGTGGTGGAAATTTCATGTAAAAACTAAG